TCCCTCTGTAACTGGGAAATGAAGCAGCCATGGGCACACATATAAACATACCCAGTATTTCTACATTGGCAGCTAAATGAAGACATGGCCCTTTCCCATTGCATAAGAGTTCTAAACCAGGAGAAACTGAGGTTCTTGCTGAGTCTGGTGGTCCACATGTGACCCCTGTGCTGTAAGGTGCCTATGTCCCTGTACCGGAACCTATGTGGCTTAGGGACCTGTGACTGTCTTTTCTCTGGCTCTTGGACTATGTGAGAGGCCTTGAGATGCTCTGAACAGAAAGGCTTGCCATGGCTGAAAAAGCCAGGATTTTATCAGCTATTTCTCCTTTTACCATCAGTGTTTATGCTCATTACAGGAAACTTATACTATGGCTCCACGTAAGGGGCTATCTGAAAACAGTGCTGGGTGTGATGGCCACACGTATAACTCACACTGAAGAGGCTGAGGTAGGAGGGTTGCAGCCAGCCTGGGCTACATGACAAGACTGTCTCAAAAAAACCAAAATAAGTAAGCAAACAAAAGTAAGGACTGAGGGCCGGCCAGATAGCTCAACGGACTAAAGTGGCTGCTTAGGCAATCACAGGGACTGGGGTTCAATCCCTGGTGTGCTGTGCCAGGCCCTGCCTCCAGGGAGTGCTGAGATGGTGAATGAGACTGGGCATGGTGGTACGCACATATAATCCCAGCGCTTGGAAGGCTGAAAACAGGAGGATCACTATGAGTCCAATCTGTATAGTAAGACCCAGTAGACCTGGTACTAAATACATTTTAATTAAAAAAAATTTTTTTAATTAAACTGAGGACTGGTAAGGATGGCCTTCCAGGGAGAGAGAGCAGACCCATTCTAAGGGAATGTGGCCTCTTGCAGACTGGACACAGAAGTGTTCATCTTCCTAGCCACAGGTTTCCAGACAGGGTGGAGAAGCTGCGAACCACCATGGCAGGCAGGAAGCAGAAAATGGCAGCTCTTCCTTACTATGGCCACGTTCTGCTCTGAATTGGGCTTTTCTAATGTTGGCTTCTTGCTTCCCAGTGTACCCTTGCCCTGTTGTCTCCATTTGTTTAGATGATGTCCTTATTTTGTTTTATTTTTTAGCAAGTGACCATTTTTCTACTAAACTCACCTGTGAGCTCCTTGTCCCAACGGAAAAACTACTGTTGCTGTTGCATGATATGTGTCCCTACACTGTGCTGCTAAGTCCCATTTGAGCCCACTATGTGCTTGTGGTTCTCTCCTCTTCCGCTTTCTTTGGCTTTGGCCATCTGCCTCACAGAGTTAGTTTTAGGAGTGTTCCCTTCTCTTCAGTTACTTAGAAGGGCACAAGAAAGACAGGCGGTAATTTTTCCTTCAGAGTTTGATGGAACCCTCCAGGGACACCCTTGCAAATAGACACCATCTATTGGACAGGCACTGTGTTTCTAGGAGTCTGTCCCTTTCATCTGGGTCACCCAGGGTGTTGACAGACATAGTTATGATAGTGAGAGCCCTTTTCATTTCTATGAACCCTGGAAGACTGTCCTACTTTTATTTCTGGTTAGCCCTTGTCTTCTAGCTTGCTCCTGTGAAGAAGGTGCTTGTGTCTCAGTGTCCCAAAATCCTGCATCTCCTGCCTGCCCCTTTCTCTCACCTGCCCAGGTGTTGTGCTCTTTTCTTGCTCAGAAGTTCTCCACAATGATCCAGGTGCTTGGAGGTCCTTTACCTTGGAAATGCACCTCTAATTGTCTCCGTTCTCCCAGGCACACTCTGATCTCGTTCCAGGACCTGAATGATGGGTGCTAGGTCTCGTGCTTCACCATGCCAGGTCCTCTCCTCTTCATCTGTCTGCTCTCCTTATGTGGAATAGTCCTGACATAGAGCCCGTGTTGAGGACTTGTGGGGCAAGTGCAGGTCACCCCTCCTGTCTCACTTTCTCCACCTGGCCAAAGGGGTGCTCAGTGCCCTGGTTCCAGGCAACAGTGCTAAGAGGTACTCACTTACCATGAGGGAGGCGTGACACATAGCAAGTAACACATCTGGGCAAGCAGTCAGACTCTCAGCTCTTGCTGTTGTCATAATTATTGTTTTGCTTTTAAACTTTATTTTCACTTCTGTTGTCTTATTTACAATTTTATGGACCTTTTTTTTTTTTTCTAACTTCAGAATGTGTTTTTTATTTTTCATTTTTAAAAAAAAATTTATTTTTTTGCCATAATTTTACTGAGAAACAAATAGCAATGAGACAGTTTCAAATCAAATCGGTAGGACAGTTTCAATAATTAACACACTGCATACATTCTTCTTAGTGGTTAATTGCTGTACAAGATGCGGACTTGATATCCTATTTACAAACACCATTAGAACAAATCATTCTATTCATTAACAGAATGTAACTATATATCTATCCTAACCACTTTGAATACACAGATACAAAATGGACATTCATCTGTATACCCTTTTTTTGTTAAGTTCCGTTATTTGAATATTATAGGTGTGTAAACTCAGCAAAATATTCTAAAAAAAGTCCAGTAGCCCATAATAGTATTGGGTCTTCCGCTTAACTGGCAATGTCAGAAACTGTTGACCTGAGTCCCCCACAGCTCAACATAACAGCATGGCTTTACTTCTTATATTTCGTTTTTATACTTCTCTTCTGGATGGTTAAGACCGAGGTAAAGCAGAACCTATGCAACAAGAGTTGTAGCTTTTGGGTGTGGTAAGGTCAGTGAAATCCCCTCAGGATTTATCCTGAGATCCTGTACCTCAGATTGTAGAACCTCTGTCAGTGTTAGCCATGTGGATGAGTCACGGCCATTGCTTGGCCAATGTGCTCTCTGTGAAAGCCTGAGAGAATGTTTTCTCTCCATGTGACTCTAATTTTATGGACTGTTATAGCAGTAGTTTTATAGATGCAAGAGAGTGACTTAGCTTAATGATGGTGTTAATTAAAGCCACTACTGCCATCTTCTTCATTCTTGTTTTCCTACTTTTCCCTCTTCTCCTTTTCCTCCTTCCCCTCTTCTACTAGGGATTAAATCCTGGACCTTTGCACTGAGCAAATTGATTTTTTTAATTTGAGTCAGTGTCTTGCTAAGTTGCCTGGGCCAAGCTTGGATTTGTAGTCCTCCTGCCTCAGCCTTCCATAGCGCAGGGTTACAGGTGTGCATCAGTATGCCTGGATAATTGCAGCTTCTACCTATTTTAATTTACTTCTGCTTCTTACATAGCTGCTGTTTCATCAAAGTTCTTTTGTTTTCTTGTAGTTCCCTTTTCTAAATGGCTGATGATCTTTACTGTCAGTTTGTTCTTAAGAATGAATGGATAAAAACAAAATGAAGCAAAACAAAGCTTTGTGGTACGTTGTGTTCTAGTTTGATTTGACCCAGTGATGGGTAAGCAGTGGGTTGGGCGGGCATTGTGCCCCTTGTGTATACCAGCATCTACAGGTGTCCTCTCTGGAGCCCTTTGGTTTTTCTAAGCAAGAATTCTTCCATTCCCTGCCCTCCCTGGTACAGCCCCACAGTTACTATGTAGCCTGCCTCTTAAAAGTGGATTGCCAAATAAACATTACCGTGTTTTGGATTGCAGGCCTCTCTCTCTGGAGTTAGATTCCACCTTCTTCTCATCACAAAGAATTGAACAAAACGAGTAAAAGCAGTGATAAAGTTTATTCAAGAATGTGAAGAGTTGGGGAGAAACTGGCTCTGCAGAGCAGGTTTGGGCTGAGTAAAGAGGAACAGAGGGAGAACAAAGATGGAAGTACACGCTGCATCTGGGAAACAGTGTGGACTAGCATGTGAAGTTGTGCTAGCAACTCTTGGTGTGTCTTTTATGCAGTGTGTCTTTAATGCTGTGCAAATCTACAGGAAATCATGAAACTTCTCCATCTGGACTGTGAGAGGCGGTGCTGGGATCCCACACTTCAGGCTGATTGTCAGGTCTAAGTTTCCTATCAGAAAATCTGCTCAGGTTCTTGACAGAAGTCCATGTGCAGGACTGCAGGAATTGCTCTGTGCGTGTGTCCAAGATCTGGCAGTTAATAGGTCATGCTCACTTTCCCAGTCACCTTTGCCATGCCCTAGTCTCCTGTCTCACTACTGCCAGCCTTTGTGTGTATCCTCCTTTGTCTCATAGCTGCAGCACAGGGGCAGGGTGCCAAGGAGGTTGGAGAGTCGTCCCACACATGACACTGCACTCAGTCTCTTACTCAACCTGCATCCTCCCCAATGAGATGCTATGACTACAGGCAACCTTAAAGGTCACAAGGGACAAAACTAGAAATCAACCACAGGAGAAGCCCCAGAAACCACACACAGAGAGTAAAGAAGGGCCAGTGAGCCATTGTCAAAACCAGAGGAGCATAGGACAATCCCTAGAATCAAATTCAGTGAAAACTCAGCCTGCAGAACTTGAGAAGCACAGGACAGCAGCTCTCAAAGGACATTTAGAGCCAAGAATTCCTGTATGCAAAAGCAGAGTGATAGCAGATAGCTAATGATGGCTCTCCAGGTCCTAGAAAAATGAGAACACACCAAGCCCAAAGCCAGTACAAAGAAGCACTAAGACCAGAGCAGAAGTTGGTGAACTAGAGACTCAAAAGAACAACCAAGGATCAATGAGTGAAAGGTTGTCTTGTGTGAGATAAATAAGGTTGATAAACCCTTAGCCCAAGCAGACCAAAGAAAGAGAAGGCCCAAGTGAGTAAAATTAGAGATAAAAAAGATGGCTATCACTAAAATTCAGATTACTAACATTGATTTTGGAAACTTGTTCTAAGAAATTGGAAAATGGGTAGTTTTGTATTTACCAAACTGAGCCAAAAGGATATTAAAAACTTAAATAGATCAATAACAAACAATGAGACTGAAGCAATAATAAAAAGTGTATCAATAAAAGCAAGTCTGGATGTGGTAGTATAGAGCACACCTATAATTCCAGCACTCAGAGGCTGAGACAGGAGGATTACTGCAAGTTCAAGACCAGTCTGAACCACAGAGCAAGACCTTGTTTTGGAAAAAAAAAAAAAAAAAGGCCCTGGAAAGGAAGACTTTACTGCTGAATTTTACCAGACCTTTAATGAAACCAAAACTACATTGAGACTCCATCTCATCCTACTTAAAATGAGAATAATACAAAATATCATACAAAGCAAACAAAAAACCAGACCCATAAACACTGGCAGAGTGGAAAAAGGAAATGTATGGCTGGAGATAGAAGAGAGCACAGCCACTCTGGAAGGTAACTAAGGGTACCTGTGTTATCTGTCCTTGCAAAGCCAACTGAAATTGCTCATTGATGGACTTCATGGTGCCCCATTCATCTGTATTCCATTCATCTATCGTTTGTGGATGATGTAAAGAGCTCTTCCTGTATGCCGGACATTGTTTTAGGTTTCAAAATAAAGGTAGCTGGTACAGAGGATCTATCCTGTTATGAGACAATAAACCAAGTGTCGGGAGAGCTAAGTGTTCTTTCCAAGGAGAGAATGAAAATGGCAAGACAACCTGTCACCACCTTTGGGAAGATCACATCTGGTAGGTGCCTGTCAGTGGAGAGCTGATGACCAGAGAGTGGTTCAGGGGACAGCTGGGGAGCATCTTGGGAAGGGATGGAGGAGCAGGTTTGGTGCCTCCTACTAAGCAGCAGAGACAGGAGCGAAGGAGAGGTGGGCCATGCTGGGGTCAGCAGTGGCCAGGGGTCTGTTCTTTGCTCTACCTGTGCCGAGCCATTGGATGTAAGCAGAGTAACTCAGGGCCAGGAAGATGGCTCAATAGAATAGAATTGAGCTCAGTTGAACTCATTGGGCCTGAGTTCAATCCATGGTTCCACACACAAAAAAAAATAATAATAAAAAAAAAAAATAAAGAAAGAAAGAAAAGAAAATTTTCAACAAAAAAGACTGCCAGTTAAAATAAACCTTTCAGAGAGATAGCTCAGCAGCATAAGTGCCTGCCTGGCAAGCGCAAGGTCCTGAGTTCGATCCCTGGTACCACAAAACAAAGCAACAATGAAAAAAGACTGCCAGCTACAGCAGAGTAACTCACCCGGAGCTGGATACAGAGCCTGTTGACTGCTAAGGCCTCTCTTTTTTGGTGCTGGAAGCCAGGCTCCTTGCTTTTGGTCTTTGGACCCGAACTTCCTTGGAGTGGAATTTCCCTGAGGTCTGTACCTGGATTTCCTGACCCACATTGGTCCGACCCAACTCTATCCTGAAAGACTAGGGTTTTTGTTTTTTGTTTTCTGTTTTGGTTTGGTTTGGTTTGGTTTTTTGTGGAACTGGGGATTGAACTCAGGACCTTGCACTTGCCAGGCAAGCACTTATTCCACAAAACTATCTCCCTGGCCATCACATTTTAAATCGTCCTGTTGGGCTCTTTGCTCTTGATTCTTAACATAAATCTGACTAAAAGAAAAAAAAAAAAAAAAAAAAAGATAAAAAATAAATAAATAAATATGGGTTTACAGTGATGCATTACCCATTTATAACAGCACAACTCAACTAAATCTTGGAAGCAGCAGATAAATGGATAAAGAAAATGTGTTTGCACACTACGGAGTACTACTACACCAGAAAGAAGGGTAAACAAGACTCAGGAGGCCGAGGCTGTGAGTCCAAGGCTATCCTGGACTGTATCAAGAGATCCTGTGTTACAATAGAGTGGACCAAAATTAGTCCAGGTGCTTCCCACCTCTCTAACTGTTGTCACTCACCCATTGCTGCCTCTGGCATCATAACCTCTTGTAATTGTTAAGAGTGGTGTTGCATTTATGGTTGAATGGAGAGAATTCAGGTGGCTCACAGTTTTCCTGTTTTAGGTTTATGGAGGCATGGATAATCATTAGGGTGGTGAGGTGTTTACAGCTGAACAAAGGGAAGGGAGTGACTCACTTATCTCCTTTGTTTCTAATTGTACTACCTGTATCGAAAACAAAACAAAGAAAAGGACGGTGGCAGAGCAGGGAAACAGCAACAGGTCAGCCTTTCCAAAATTCAAAATACAGACCCTGAAAAATAACGATTTGGGAAAGGAAAGTGGTAGATCACTGGGACCCAGAAAGGACTTAAAGGGAAAATTGGAGCCGCAGGGACATGGACGAGACCTCAGCACAGCAAAAGGAAGGGACAACCTGTACTTTCTGCCTGGGTGCTAGCTCACAGTATGAGAAAGGAAAATCAAATCTACAGAGACACAGTGAAAATGGGTGATTCCAGAATCCTTGGGGGGAGAAACCGCACCAGTGGAATGGAGCAGTGGGTGCTGTGTACTACAACAGCTGCTGTGCGGCTCCAGACCAAATGACTGGCAGGTCCCCTGGGACAATGGTTGGTCAGATGCCGGGGGAAGGGGTGGGCAGCTGAGCTGGGGAGTCAGAGCAGCCATTGGTCAGCTTCATCTCTGGGCTCCCAGTGTTAAACCACCACAGTGACTGGTGAGGGAAACCCACAGGAGACATCCATGGTCTGGGAGCCATGGGCAGGCCCTGCAAGAGACACCCAGAGTGCTACAAGCCAAACAACTCAGGCTCCTGCCCCAGGACCAGGCATCAGCTGCAGCCTAACCCTCTATGGACTGGAAAGTCCCAGTTAACAGCCTTAATCCTCCCAGCTTGCTGGGAATGTCCAGCCACTTCTATGCGTATAGTGATACACCTTGAATTGTACACTGCTACAATAATGTTGACCTCAGCCAGAAGATAACCACAGGCTTGAGATCACAGAAACTTCTTCCACCACCCTCTTTGGTTTTGGGGTTTTGCTCATTAGGTTTTTTTTGGGGTTTTTTTGTCTTTTTGAGATAGTCTTACTATGCAGTTCAGGCTGGCCTTGAGCTCACTTTGTAGCCCAGGCTGGTCTCCAACTCATAAGGATCCTCCAGTCTCAGCCTCCCAAGTGCTGGGACTACAGGCATATACTACCATGCCTGGCTGGCGTCATCCCCCACCCCATTTTTATTTCTTTGTGAGTGTAAGCACTGTTTGTAGAGGTTTTTAGATTTTTCCTTTCTTATTTCTCCCACCCTACCCCCTACCCCCATTTCTGTTTTTTTTTCTTTTCTTTTTCTGTCTTTTTTTTGGGGGTGTGTTTGTGTGTGTGGTACAGGGGATTGAACTCAGGACCTTGTGCTTGCCAGGCATGTGCTTATTCTACTGAGCTATCTCCCCGGCCCTCTCTTGTCTTCTTGATCAGTTTCCTGAATCTTGGGTAATCTTCCCTGTCCTTCAGCCTTGTTTCTGGCCTCTTTGTTTGCTTTTATGTTTGTTTTTTTGAGAAAAAAACAACTACACTGTGTAGTTCAGACTTGTCCTAAACTCACTGTGTAGCCCATGTTGGCTTCACACTTGGAGTAGTCCTCCCTCTTCAGCTTCCCAAGTTCTGGGATTATAGGTGTACACCATCACACCTGGCTCTAATCTTTTTCTTCTATTTCTCTTTTTTCCTCTTCTCCCTTTAAATTTTCTCCCCTTATGGTAAAACTGCACTATTGAATGGATATTTACTGTATATAATTTTCTAATTTGTCTTAGATTTTGTTGTGTAACTATAAATCTTGTGCCTATAGTTAAAAGTGACAAATTGTTATCATAGCTTTTCATTTTTGTTTGTCGATGTTGTTGCTAAAGTAGTTGCAACTACTTTAGCCAAGGTGACGTAGTTGATGTGATCAATTGACCTTCCTTTTGTGCCAATACCTAGATTATCTGAGGGACATAAACAGTATTATGCCCAGTACCAAAGAACTGGCTGCTAGGCTGAACAGGATGTAATTTCTCATCACTAATAAATAGAAGAGCAGGCTCCTGGGACAGACTCCATGGCCAAGAGCCAGTGGCTAGAAGACATCTCTGAAAAATAGTCATTTCCTAAACAGGCCCCCATACTAGTAATAAAGGCACCCACTATAAATAATTTGCAAGCATCAATGCAGAAAACAAATTTTAAAAAATAGAAAAGGAAAAAACACAGAAGCAAGACCTCCAGCTCAAGCAAGGAAAATACAGGAGAAAAACATATTGAGGGTGAAGAAATCAAAAGCCACCCAGCTTAACTTTCTTAAAAAGGTAGCAGTGAAAGTAACAAAGCAGATGAGTGAGTCTTTTTCTTTCTGTCTTTTGAGACAGGGTCTCGCTATACAGTTCAGGCTGGTCTTGAGCTCACTTTGTAGCCCAGACTGGTCTCAAACTTCCCTCAGCCTCCCAAGTATGAAGAGTGAGTCTTAAGAAGAAAGCAAAACAAATAATTGCATAGATAATTAAAGAAATGATGACCATAAGGAAGGACATGGTTAGTGAATCTAACCATGATTAAAAAATAGAGGAGTTTAGGAAAGTAATGGAAACCATGACTGCCCAACATAGGAAAGAACTGAATTCCATAAAACACATTCAAACAAATATCCAGGAGATTAAAAATTGTATTGAAAAAATATATAGCAGAATCAACCAAGGTGAAGATAGAATATCAGCTCTAGAAGACAAGGTCGCAGGTAGTGGCTGTCAAATGAAAGCCTTCTTAAAAATAGCAAGGGAGGCCCAGCCAGATAGCTCAGCGGACTAAAGTGCTTGCTTCGGCAGAGCACAGTGGTCCGCCCCAGGGTGCGCTGAGAAGGCGATTGAGACTTGGCATGATGGCATGCGCCTGTAATCCCAGTGCTTGGGAGTTTAAAAAAAAAACAAAAAACCAAGGGTCCACAAAAAATCAACAGCTGCTAGACAGTGCAAAGAAGAATAACGTAAAATTAATTGTAATTAATGAAAAGTCAGAAGACAGTACAAAAAAACCTATACACAGAAGTAATAGCAGAAAATTTCCCACATGTGCAAAAGAATTACATATAAATAAGTGAGGCATATAGAAGTCCACTTGGCCATGATCAGAAAAAAACTATATACCAGGGATATAGTTCAGTGGCATAAGCACCTGTCTGGAAAGCACAAGGTCCTGAGTTCAACCCTCGGTACTAGGAAAAAAACAAAACAAAAACTCTCTTCATAAGAAAAAGAAAAGAAAAGAAAAAAACTACACCAAGACATATACTAGTCAAGATTCTAGAAGTTCAATGAAAAACAAAATTTTAAAACCTGTTAAATTACCAGTAAAAGAAAAGCCCTCAGAGTCACAGCAGACTTCTCTCAATACAAATCCTTCTTAAGTCAAGGAAAGCTTGCAGTGAAGTGTTTGAACCAAACCTAAAACAACCTCCAGCCCAGCTTGATGTATCCCACAAAATAATCTTTCAGAATTGGTGGAGAAATAAGATATTTCCTTGATACAGAACACCTAGCGGCTAGGGTTATAGCTCAGTGGCAATGAAAGTAGTCCTCCAAGGGAAATTTGTAGTGCTAAATTCTCACATTAGAAAAACAGTGAACTAAAATAACCTAATGTTGAAGCTCAGGGTTTTAGAAAAGAAAGAGTAATTAAACCACAAGCTCATATGAGGAAAGAAATTATAAAGATGTGAACAGAAATTATAATGCAATTAAAATTTTTTTTTAAAAAAGCATGAATTGGAGAATTAGTTCTTTGAAAGAT